CGAGAAACTTACTGGGAGGATTAAATTGATTAGATAGACTGTATTAAGATAATACAATTATTTAAATTCGTACTATCCTCGAAAATGAATCCTAGTTTGATTGTCAAGCTGTAGTTGTAAAATGGACAAGATTTGCCTGAATTGAGAAAAATATCTTTGCCTCATCTTAATACACGCGACACTTCCTTGTTGATTCCACGAAATGACTGCAAGTATTATTAACCGCAATATTTATTCGCGTATTCCAGTCAACGCGCATTGATCCACCTGCGCGTATATATTACAAAAGACAGTATATATTTCATTCGTCTAACAATTAAAAAAAAAAAAAAAATCCAAGTCGCGAGAGTTCACGGGCAATTCGGGAAAGAAAGATCGGAAGAGAGGTCATCAGTTCGAAAATGGAGAATAAGGTTAAGCCGGCACTTGATCAACAACGAGGGCTGAAAAGTTTCGTCGCCGCGATTAATTAATGCCGCGAGATTACGGCGTCGTGTTTCGTCACGAGTGGAAGACACGAGCGTAATATGTAAAGCGAGAAAGGGGAATGATCCAATTTGGTGAAACTAGTCGTTGCGTAATCGGCATTACGATGCTCCGACATCGTGTGAGATAATAGTACGAGAAAGTAAACCTCCTATGGCGTCGAAAAAGACATTGCAATCGGGTCTTAAGATCTTGGACGATGATCGAAGCAACGATCGGTCGCTCTACGAGTAAATCGGCGAGATTGGCCGGATTTTTGAATCTACGTCTGTAATACAATTTTGATTTCCTTACTTTATTATATAATAATACTTGTAATCAAAGGAGAGGAAATTATATGTGAACCGATGTTACTTTGCACATAAAAAGAAATCGATTTATACAGTATTGTTGTTTTATATAATTAACTATATTCCACTGTTTCGAAAGTTTTCGTGGAATTACTCTCTCTATTAAAATTAATCAGTCGATATATCATAATATATCTATATTAATAAGTAAGTTTGAATAAGAACTACACGCCTTGATAGAATGATTTTGATCTTGAGCAAGTATTACATTTAAAACTTCTTTCGTTTCACTCGCAATACTGGAAAATCTAAATTAGCGGTTTGTCCTAGTTAAAAATCGTTCAGAAACACATTGCATAATTCGATCATCTTCGACTGAATCACTATCATTGTCGCCGCGAGCGTGAAACAAACGATACGGTTCTGTAGGCTAGGTTTTTCCCCACTTTCACACTCGAATAATTCCGATCATTCCAGTTTCCCACTTCTCTCTCTCTCTCTCTCTCTCTCT